GAGAGAGAGAGAGAGAGAGAGAGAGAGAGACGTCAAGAAATTTATTGTATTATTTGTAAATAAATTTATTGTATGTACATATCAATAAAACGATTCTCTTTATCGTACGACTAAGTTCATTTTCATCCCCCCGTACCGTTAAAATCCCTTCATTGATGTTTTAAATAAACAAATAAACAAAAATTTATCGATCATTGAAAATCGACCCGCTGCAAATTTATTCAAATTTTGTATTTTCTTTTTCTTTTTATCCTTCCCCCATTCGATTAATCGTAAGAAATATTTCGTTTTCCCATCAGATTTAATATACCCCAAGATGGATTAATACTATTTGAAATAAAAAATTAAATTAATAATCTGGCCCCTTCCCCTAAATTAAAAAAATATTAAAGATCCCTTTGTGTTGTTTCTTTTCTCCCTTAATGTGTGTTACCCCGTTCAATTATTTATCGTCAAATATATTATATTTCGCTTGCAATTAAGTTTACGATGAAAATTAATTAATATATTTTTTCTGCGCGTTTAACTTTTTAATTTAATATATTCTTTGAAATCTATGACGGAAAAAATAAAAAAAGGAAAAACAATGATTCCATTCGAGTAGAAACTCTGAATAGACCGTAAAAAAAAAAAAGAAAAAAAACAGAAAGAACGGTCGAACCATACAACTTTGTGCATTTAACAATTTTTCATTAGGAACGCATAATTAAAAAGGTATTTCAAGTGTATACGAGTTACGTAGAATCATCCTAGGTATATAAGCCCATGGAAAAAGAAGAGTGTAAAGAGAGGAAAGAGAGAGAGAGAGAGAGAAAAACAAAAAGAAAAATAGAAAAATAGAAAAAGAAACAGAAAGAAAAGAAAAGCTGAAAAACTTTGTCGAGAGATCGCAACGAGACGGAGGAACGAAAGAGAAAGAGAGAGAAAGAGAGAGAGAGAGAGAGAGAGTTCTCTTTTCCGTTCGTACTCAATGTTCTTCGTTCCTTCGTTTTGTTCTCAATGACGCGTGGAAAAAACGTAGAAGAAACTCTAAAAGAAAGAAAGGAAGAAAGAAAGAAAGAAAAAAGTAGAAAAAAGGTAGAAAATAAAGAGAGAAGAGAGAGAAGAGAGAGAGAGAGAGAGAGAGGGATATAAAAGAGACGAGGTGAGTCCAAGCTCGTTGCGATTTTACGCGGAGAGAATTCTCTTTTCCCTGAATGAAAACGTCGACGCCATCCCGGAAATTAATGACAACATTAATTACTCCTATTTCCGTCTATTCGCAAGCTTTCATTAAACCTTTTACCCATCGAAACCGGTTACCTTTACTCACGTCCATTATTTTTCAATATCAAAATTATTATATATATATATATATATATATATATATTAATATTATTCAAATTTTTTCATTCCAAATTATCAAATTTATAACGGATAAACCTATTTTCTTTTTCTCTTTTTCTCTTTTTCTATCACAAATTTTGTTCCTAATATTCGATTAAATAACAAATCTATTATTATTATTATTATTTTGTTCAAATATAATAATAAAAAAAGACAAAGAAATCCTCCCCCCTTCCATAATTTTCAATCTCAACAATTTGCCATTTTATATCTATAGATAAAAGAATCAAATCAAACTATACGCGATCCTGAAATATATAAAAAAAATACAACAAAAATAAAAATAATCTAGACACTATATATAAATTACGACACAATTAAATGGATAATAGATTAACCTTAAGCAAAGATCTAATCTCATCTTCGAAGACGTTGGTTGGTCCATTTCGTGAGTTTCGGAAGAAAACTCGTTGAAGCGACGTTTAATACGACGAGGATAGGTCTGTGTTAAGATTAGTCGACAAAGTATAGGACCTTGAGAGTTCCCTAAGTTCAAGGGATCTTCGAAATGAGTTGGTTAGTCCAAGAACGATACTGCTTATTCGAAAGACCATCGCAAATGTTTGTCTTCCTTTCCTTCTCGCGTTTCCGCGGCCGTTCTTCTCTCCTGCAATGTCATCGACTTTGCCGAACACGAACTGGCAAGCACCAAGAGATAACGTTTGAAACTTTGAAACTGTCTGTCCGTACACTAGAACAAATCTATTGCTCTTGGCAATATCTTCCTGACCCGCCCTGCCCCTTCCGCCCCCCACATTTCCATCACTTCCCAAACCCCAACCCTTAGATCTAATATAACCGAAGAAACATTATCGTGAATAAATTAAACTAACGCGAATAAACTTACGCGTGAATAAATTACATTATCTTTTTTGTTACATTATTTACAACACCGGATGTGTTTCTTAAAATAAAACAAAACAAAAAAAGTGAAATTCATTATGATTATTATCGAAACGCGGAAAAATCGATTGGAAACTTATGGGATTGGATTAAAGGTAAAAATAATTGAACGCGTAATATGTAATAACTCCCCCCTCCCACCGTAATCCCATTCCTCATTTTTCTTCTAACACAAATCGTGAACGATTTAGCACAGCATGTATTGTAGATACTATAATTGATATTTTTAAAAATGTATGTTCTCTCTGTTGGATAGTTTATTAAGAGATGGTGCAGAAAAAAAAACATCATTCTCAAAAGTAGACTTCTGTTGATCATAAAACCTTGGGATTTCTCTCTCTCTCTCTCTCTCTCCCTCTCTCTCGTATTGGATTTTTAAATGAATTTAATAAAATATATCGTAGGGGAATCCTAAGAATGTAACGTTACAAACTCTTAACGTAAAAAATTTGTTAACAAACACGTATGGGCCTAAGCAAAGATCAGATCAAATCGTAGGGTTTTTTCTATTTTACGTACGACTATGAAAAAGAGAAAAATAGAAAGAGAGAGAGAGAGAGAGAGAGAGAGAGAAAGAGAGAAAGAGTGATGGCACCAACCAATAAAATCACGCGAGAACACGATTCTAGTTCCATGTGAAAGTTGGCGCAGATTTGCGCTAACTTTCCTCCTCCTTTACGAGAGAAGGAACTTTACGATGCGACAAGAAATTCGCACCGTATTCTACACGAGAATTTCTATCTCTCTTTCTCTTTCTCTTTATCTACCCCCCCCTCCCCTCCATCCCTTTTCTATATCTCTTTCCCCCTTTTTGTCCTTTCGTTTCTCTCTCCCATGGATTTTCAAACTTTACGATTTACCATTGAATCGATTGTGGGTTATTATTATTATTATTATTATTGCAAAGTGAATTCTAACGATGATGTTCCTTTTGAAGAATCAGTTCGCTTCGTATCAACCGATTTCAACATTTTCTTCTTTTATAATCGTAATATCTGCGAATAATACAATTATAGATTTTCGAAAGTATAAATTATTATTATTATTATTATTATTAATATTATTATTATTATTATTATTATTATTATTATTATTAATGAATTAAAACAACGTTTGTTCCTACAAATAGTTCATTTGACAAACACCTGATTCGATAATTGTCCCTGTAATTGCAAACGATTTTCGATGAATAATAAAATGATTAATTAAAAGTAATTATCATTATTATTAACAGTTAATTTAAAGTACATTCCATTTGTGTATTATTACAAATCGTTCGTTTAATATCAGCTTATTCGATAATTCAAAAGATTTTCGAGGAATAAAATAAAAATTAAATGAAAAACTTGTAACAATATACTAAATCTCATTAAAATAATGTTAAAATATTTAAAAAAAAAACCAAGAAATAATACTTCCTATGCAAATGAACGATTTAATTAAAATCGGTTGATACGATAATAATTCTCGATATACTTTACACCGATATATTATAATATAATATATTACGTATAATAAAATTATGAATGAAAAAATAAATATCGCATTATTATTACAGATAAATTCATACGATTTAATAACATTCATTCGAAATTAGCTTGTTTTATAAATTTATGACATTTAAAGAATACAAAAAAAAAAAATAAATAATCTTTACAAAATTACCCAAATCGGAGATTGATAACGTTAAAGTGGTGCTTCCAAAAAAAACTAAAATAAAATAAAAGAAAAAAGGGGAAAAAAAATGCAAAAGATCTCGTATGCAAATGATCAGACGTTAAATTGTGATTACTCAGAACTCTTGTTTCTATCAAAGGTACCGTAGTGGTAGGATACTTTAGAGAATCAGCCGATGAAAAGAAGTACAGGAGGAACGTTTGCCGTTCTCGGACTGCAATCAACTCGAACTCAGCGATTACAACGGCACTCCGTCGAGCTTTCTTTCCTATCCCTGCGGGCGATTTGCCTTCTCTACAGAAACTCGCAACTTGTTTAATCGGAGAACGAAACTCTGACTGTCGATTGCAGACCATTCCTACTCACTAAAACCAAGGAAGAAGAACCTAAACCATTACCATTCCTGTTGTCTCAACTTCCTTCCTTCCCACCCAACCATCTATCTAACCATCCCCAACCATCGTACCAACCATTCTTCCTTCCTTCCTTCCTTCCTTCCTTCTTTCATTCCTTCTAAAAAGAAATTTACCGATCGCATCGATAAAAATGTTTTTCCTCTTTTCAGGTTTTCCCACTCTCTCTCTCTCTCTCTCTCTCTCTTTTTCTCTTAGACTCACTTTAACTAAATTACTTAGAACGAGAGAA